CTCTGGGACGCGCAACAAACGGAGCATGTATTGATGTATCTCAGCACATGGTCACTGTTTCTGTCACTCTACACCACCGACATGTTTTCACGCCTGTCCTTCACTGTTTTGACCCAACTGCTATAGAGTGTGAGGAGGGCAAGTCCCAGGATTTGTCTGGACAATACAGCTGCAAAGACGGCGAGGTCGGTGCTCTGGGAGCCGGTTGCTTCTGCGCGTGTGCGTGTGTGTGTGTGTGTGTGTGTGTGTGTGTGTGTGTGTGTGTGTGTGTGTGTGTGTGTGTGTGTGTGTGTGTGTGTGTGTGTGTGTGGGTGTGTGTGTGTGTGCGTGTGTGTGTGTGTGTTTGTGTGGTTGCACGCGTGCTCGTCGTCGAGTCCATTCCAAAGCGAATGTTTATTGATGCTGGAGCTTCTTATCTCTGTCCTTTCGTCCTCGCTAGGTGTTCTGCCTTGACACGGGTTATGGCGAGAGTGTGCCGGTGACACCCACATCCGACCGCCTCTGCACACAGTGCCAGCCAGGTACGAATGAACTGTGCATTGTGCACAGGTGTTCCTGTAAATTGTCGCTGGTCTTCTCTGTCTCGTTTGAATTCACCACACACACATGTACACACATATGCACACACACACACACACATACACACATAGGAACACGGTGGACGACGACTGTGCTGCCAACTGGCGAAACGGTTGGTGTGTGCACAGCGTGCTCGTCAGGAACGTATCAGGACAAACCGGGACAGACCAACTGCATTTCCCAGCCATCGTGCGACCCAGGCACCTACATTCTCAGGGTGTGTGCGTGAGCGTTACAAGATGTTCATGTATGTGTGCATGTGTGTGTGTATGTGTGTGTATGTGTGTGTATGTGTGTGTATGTGTGTGTATGTGTGTGCATGTGTGTATGTGTGTGTATGTGTGTGTATGTGTGTGTATGTGTATGTGTGTGTGTGTATGTGTGTGCATGTGTGTGTATGTGTGTGTATGTGTGTGTATGTGTGTGCATGTGTGTGTATGTGTGTGTATGTGTGTACCACTCACATACACGCACCCCCCCCGCATTGCTCCGCGATTGTCGAGCAGGAGGACGTCTCGTTTAAGCGCGAGTGCCGCGCATGCAATGGCGTCACAGAGTACCAGGACGAGGTAACATAACACAAGAGAGAGAGAGAGAGAGAGAGAGAGAGAGAGAGAGAGAGAGAGAGAGAGAGAGAGAGAGAGAGAGAGTGTGTGTGTGTGTGTGTGTGTGTGCGTGTGTGTGTGTGTGTGTGTGTGCGTGTGTGAGTTGGGTGCGGCAACGTGTGTGTTTTCGTGCGCTCATATCTGTGTGTGTGTGTGTGTGTGAGCAGTCAAACCAGTACGAGTGCAAGCGCGTGACGGTGTGCACGTCCTCGGAGTACGAGGTGGAGCCGCCAACAGCAGAGCTGGACCGCCGCTGCAGATCATGCGAGCTCGGCATCACCTTCCTCGATGCCGTAAGTGGTGACCTTGCGTGTGCAACTGTACACAATTGCGTTTCATGCGTTGCGAGAGCCGTTTGCACCGTTGCATGTGTGGTGTTTCTGTGGTGCAAACTTTGAAACACCGCCCACACCGATCCATCTATCCACTTCTCCATTTACTTCTCCATTTACTTCTCCATTTACTTCTCCATGAACTTCTCCATGAACTTCTCCATTCACTGATCCAAATATCACACCTGCTCCAATTATTTGCAGGCACTGCAACAATGTCAGCCCGTCACAGAGTGTGCACCAGGAACAGTTGAATCCGAGGAACCGACACTCGTTTCCGACAGGGAGTGTCGTGCTGGTGCGTTGTCATTGATTTATTCCTGTGTGGATTAAGGACAAGCACGTCAAGAATGCTGTCTGGCGCCATCACATGCAAAGCACACACTGAAGTGAAATCAACTCTTTTACAACCACCCAACACACACATACACATACTCACACACACATCACTGCGCACGCACATGTTTGCAGAGACATTCGCGTGCACAGACGGGCAGCAGGACGGAGATGGCCCCACGTGCGCGTGCAGCGTTGACCACTGTCACACCTGCACGAAACAGCCGCTCTCCGAGGACAAATACGGCGCCATTCTCCTGCAGGTCAACCGCCATCCCCAGCTCTCCACGCTCGTGCGCCCATGCCAGCAACTCGGCCCACAAGGTGTGTTTGTTTGGTTGCGCGTGCGTGCACGCTTGTGTGCTCATGTGCAGCCGTACCGCTTACCCATGTGGTCATCTTTGATATGCCAAACCAACGCAACTTGCAGATGATTACGTTGCGGGCTGTGTGACTGAATGTCGCAATGAAACGGATTGCACTGCGTTCTTTGTCGGTGTCAGCGGTGCCGAGGAAGGCATCTGCTGCCTCTACTCGTCCTTCTCCGCCATTGGATCGTACGTACATGGCAGTATGGTGTGCGTGTGTGCTGTGTGCCTGAGTTGCCTTGTGTCTGTTGCCATTGTGTCGTTTGGGGTGCGATGTGGGCATGCTGCGCACACCTTAATGTGGTATCGTGCACACACACACACACACACGCACACACACACACACACACGCACACACGCACACACACACGCACACACACACGCACACACACACGCACACACACACGCACACGCACACGCACACACACACACACGCATACGCACACACACACGCACACACGCACACACACACGCACGCATACGCACACACACACACGCACGCACATACTCACTCGTCACTCGTTCTCCACACTCTTCTGCAACCGCATTTCACTCGACTGTCACACCAGGTACAACCGGCCCGGTGGTTCATTTTACGCACTCTCACAGTGCGATGTGTGTGATGATGGCTACTTCAAGTCAGGCATCGGCTGTCGAAGTGAGTGCTCACCCGTAATGTCTGTGATTGTGAGGTGTTGCATTGCCCGTTGTGTGACGCGAAGAGTTTCTTCCCTTCCCTGACACACACGCATGCCAAAACATTTCCACATGCAAGAACACACAGGCTCTCAACCATTGGCTCTGGCTCCACTAACTCGCACTTGTGCACACACCCATTTGCTCATTTACACGTCCTTTCCTTCACATCACCCCCTCTTTCGCAGAGTTGTCTGTACCGCCAAGCGTGGGACAAGCGGAGCAGGCAATCACGCTGCCGCTCACAGCGACGTTGGGCACGGAGGTTGCTCGTGTAAACGCAACGGTGGAAGCGGGCTATGGGCCCCTTTCCTTTACGCCGACGCGACCGAGCGAGGTGTTTGCAGTGAACGCGTCGACTGGCGTTGTCACGCTAATGCAGCCGCTGGCCGTCGCCTCCGCCATCTCGATCACCATCGCAGGTATGCTGCCGTGCTTTGCCGCAATGCGCAACAAGCGCGCGTTCGTGATTGTGTGTGTGTGCGTGTGCGTGTGCGTGTGTGCGCGTGCGTGTGCGTGCGTGTGCGTGCGTGCGCGTGCAAATTCGTGATTGTGCGTGCGTGTGCGTGCGTGCGCGTGCAAATTCGTGATTGTGCGTGCGTGTGCGTGTGTGCGTGCGTGCGCGTGTGCGCGCGTGCGTGCGCGTGCAAATTCGTGTGTGCGCCGCTGCCCTTTTCATGGTGGTGATAGTTTCCATCAGGCTCTTATGGGTTCTCGCTTGACTCAGCTCACTCACCACCCTCTCGTGTTTGTTACTCTGCGTCTCCCCACGCACTGCAGTTGCGGATGCGCGGGAGGAGTGTTTTGCGTTGAACGAGGCGGGCACCGATGTCACTATCACTGCAGGAGGATGCGTCTCACACACCACCTTGAACATTCAGGTGCGTGTGTGCTCTCATAACCCTATAACCATCATAAGCAGTTTGACGTGACGAGCTTGCTTCGTTCTTTGTTTTCCCCTGCGTCAATGACACATGTCCCTTTTCCGCTGCAGCTCTGCTTCTTCTTTGCGTGCAGCTCAACAACATCCACACTCACAATCAACAGCACCGCCAACGGCGACACCTACAACCTTACACTGTGACTGCTCACCAACAACTTTACACACTACCCACCACCTTCACCACCGCGACCTCACATTGTTTGCCTTTGTGTCGCACCAAACAGATTGCAGTGTTTATTGACTGCCCCAAGGACGAGAGCTACTACCTGGCGCCGGAACTGGATGCGCTTGAGGTGTCGTGGACACCACCGCGCCTGCCGTCCTTCCTCTCCCTCGACGTACACAACAACACACCCGCTCCACCCGTCTCCTTTGGCGAGGGCATCCACACGGTCGAGTACATCGCGGGTCCGCTGGACGTTGGCGGCAACCTGCAGTGCGTGTTTGACGTTGCGCTCCGCTACGGCTTCTCCATCCTCGTGGAGAGCATTGGCCACGCCACCAGCGGCCCGCTGCTGCAGGACTTTCTGCTCGCCGACGCCAACCTGGTTGATGGCGGTGCTCGCCCGCGCGGCTTCAGCGGCGACATCATCTCCCGCCCACTCGCCATTGGCCTGCAGTCCAAGCCAGGCCTCCCCTTCACCATCTTCACACGCAACAGCGTCCAGGGCCGGGTTGTCGTGCAGCTGCAGTGGTGCACGAGCGGTAGCGTGCCGAGCGACCCGGCCGCGTTTGTGAACGGCACCACCACCGTCAAGCTGCTGCAGCCAAGCGACCCGCTCCTGTCGGCGTCTCTTGTGTTCACCGATCGCGGGTCTGGCGTGACAGACGATGGCCGCTGCTTCCGTATCGCTGCGGAATCCTCGCCCGTTGCAGGCACGCTCTCGTTCTCGGGGGTGGACATTGCGTTCACGTACACCGGTCCCGCGCGCGCCCGCCGCTCGCCGTCATCGCCCAGCGTCACCATCAGGGACTATGCCCCACGCGAGCCAAACTTTGTTGTGGTGCAGTTTGGCACCGAGGACGGGTCGCCACTTGACGACAACAGCGGCCCGTTCCTGTCGCAGGAGGACACCATCGCCCCACGCTGGCTCAACTGCCCAACCGCACCCGTGGTCGCGCACGCACTGCCGGGTGAGGCAACTGCCGTGGCCGATTGGGAGGAGCTGGTGGCTGTCGACAACGTGCAGGTGGTGGAGACGCATGCGACACACATGCCGGGCGACAGCTTCTCTGTCGTGCAGTCCCCACACACGGTCACATACACGGCATCGGATGGCACGCTATCCACGGAGTGCACGTTCCAGGTGGAGGTCACCTTCGATCCCATCACCGCTGATGTCGTGGCCACCTCGGATGCCGTCTTCTCCGTCTCTCACCAGGTCCTGCCGCTGCTGCACACGCAGACCTTCACCCACCACCTGATTGGCGGACCAAACGACACGTCCCTTGCGTCATTCACACTGGACGCCGCGTTTGTCACTGCCATCCGCTTCACGGTGCTGCCGCCGCCTGGGGAACACTTCTTTGTGCGAACGGTGGCAGGCGCCGAGCGCGGCCAGCTGGAGGTCGACTTTGTGTTTTCCGTCGCCGGTGCATCTGTCGCCCTCGATTCGCTCGCGTTTGATGATGACGCGGTTGTGGCGTATGAGCTGGGCCAGTTTGCGCTGGACACGACACCGGCTGCTGATGGCTTGGATGCCGACGAGCTACAGGACTCCCTGGCACCCAAGGGCACCATCGACCACGCCCACGTGCTCGTGGATGGCAGTGCAGGCGTGATTGTCGTGCGCGGAACAGCAACAGACACGTTCAGACGCGGGTTCTCCTTTGGTACGATGTCGTTGCAGGTGTCGTTCCCGCTGGGCCGCAACTTCACCTCCCTCGCGCAGGCATTGACGGGCAGTGGCGGTGGTGGTGGTGGCAGCGCTGCTGCGACTACACCGGCCATGGCGCTTGGGACCAACACCACGACGACGACAACAACGACACCAACAGTGCCGACCATGACAGCATCAATGCCAATGACGACGGCGGCAAATAGCTCAAACACAACAGCGACTGGAGGCGTGGCGAGCTCAGCAACAACAGCCGTGCCGTCAACAAGTACAGCTACTGCCGCTGCCGAGACGCTGCCCTTTCTCATGCAGAGCGGGTCCTTCTTGGGCTTCAAGGTGTTTTTACCTGCGAATGACCCCGATGATCCGAGAGGCTTCCTGTCGCTCCTGGATACGCAGGCGCCGTTTTTCCGCCGCTGCCCCTTCAGTCTCCACCGCGACATTGACGTGGTGCTGGCCACCGTCCCCAGAGAACCGCATGCCATCGCCAACTGGACGCTGCCCGTTGTTGACGACAACCGCGGGCGTGACCAGCTCACCCTGACGTCCAACGTACCTGCTGGCGGCGTGTTTGCACTGCAGGCGCCGGGCGATGCGCCATACGCCGTGCAGTACACGGTGGCGGACCTGTTTGGCAACACGGCCACGTGCGACTTTTTCGTTGCTGTGCGTGACTTTGAGGCGCCGCGTGTGCTTGTGGTGGACGATGTGGTGGTTACACTTCCATCTGCGCCATACTCCCCTGGGCACGCCGTGCTGGCCACGGTGACCCCAGAACAGGTGCGAGCCGCCACCAACACCACAGACAACAGCGGCGCATTCACGTGGACGGCGCCCGCCACGGCCCTTGCCCTGGGCACGGGCGAGACTGACGTGATGGTGGAAGCAGAGGACGAGTGGGGGAACAAAGGCAGCGCTGTGGTGCGTGTGCGTGTCCTTGACACCACACCGCCCACGCTGTTCTGCAATGACCCTTCCCCTGTGGTGACGCCCGGCGTGCAAGCGGAGGCAGCGGCGGTTAACTTCACTGCGCCATCGTATGTGGACAACGTTCCCACAGCGGCCACCCTGACATACTCGCATGCGCCAGGAAGCCTGTTTCCTGTCGGCACGACACACGTGAACGTGACGGCAACAGATGCCAGCGGCAACGCCGCATTGTGCGTGCTGGCAGTGGAGGTGATCCCCTTCCAGGCCGCCACGGCCCCGGACAACACCAACATCGTGGCGGGCGCCTCTGGCGGCGGCGCCTTCTTGCTTGTGCTGCTTGCTGTGTTTGCCGCGCTGTACTACCGGCAGCGCAAGCGCATGCGGCGCCCGCAGAACTGGGACGAAATCTTCGAGATGATTGAGCAGTTCAAGGGGCGGAAGGACGGCAGCGACGGGCCCGTGGTCCCGCGCGAGCTGAACCGCGCCAACATCAAGCTGCTGGAGGAGCTTGGCAAGGGCGCGTTTGGCATCGTGTACAAAGGCCTGCTGACGGAGGCACCGATCCCGGGCTACCTCGTGGCGTGCAAGAGCCTGCACGCCAAGGCAACCGCTTCCGAGCGCATCGAGTTGATGGAGGAGGCAGCCGTGGTGGCGCAGTTTGACCACCCAAACGTGCTGCAACTCATCGGCGTCGTGTCTGTGGGCAAGCCCGTGCTGGTGGTGCTGGAGTTTATGGAGTACGGCAGCTTGCGCTCGTATGTGCAAGACAACGACGTGGACGAGGCCACGCGGCTGTTGTTCGCTGGCGACTGCGCCGAGGGCCTCAACCACGTGCACAGCAAAGGGTTTGTGCATCGTGACATTGCTGCGCGCAACATCCTCGTCTCCAGCGAGCGGCGGTGCAAGGTTGCAGATTTTGGGCTGGCGCGCGACACGGAGGAGAGCGACTACTACCGCTCGCGTGGTGGCCAGCTTCCCGTTCGCTGGTCCGCGCCTGAGGCCCTCGAGGATCGCAAGGTCAGCACAAGGGGAAGTAGTGGGTTGGGGATATTGGGGGAGAGAAAGGAATCGGATGCCCTTGGATTGAGCTGTACGCGTTATGTTTGTTTGTTTGTGTGTGTGTGCGTGTATGTGTGCGTGTGTCTGCTGCAGATTTGAAGCTAGTTGTTGCTGTCCCTCACGCTTTGTTGCGGTACCTGGTTGTGTTTTTCCCCACAGTTCACGCGGGCGACCGATGTTTGGTCCTTTGGAATTTTGTGTCACGAGATCTGGACACGCGGCAAGATGCCGTATGACGGCTGGGGAAACCAGAAGGTGCGCTTGTCACAGAAAGATGGTGGCTTCAGTGGAAGCAGCTTGACACACACACGCACATGCACATGTACATGTACATGGACATGGACATGGACATGGACATGGACATGGAGACGCAGACATACACACGCGCGCGCACAGACACACACACACACACACAGTACACAGACACAGTACTCACACACACACACACACACTGCCGTACGCTTGAGACCCATTGTGTCAGCGCTCGTTCACGCTGTTTTGTTTTGCGTGTATGCATGCAGGTCTGGGTGATGGTGTGCGACGGGTACCGTCTGCCCAAGGCCGAGACGTGCCGTGATGTGGTGTATGAGCAGCTGCTGGCGTGCTGGCACGCTGAGGCAGAGAGGCGGCCGAGTCTTGCTGATCTGGCGGCCTTCTTCCGCGATGAGTACGAGGCCTACACCGGCGAGTCGTTGCAGCCCAAAGACGAATACCTGGCCATCGGCGACACCCCACACAGCGGCACAAAGAAGCCACGCAGATCCCTCAGTGGGACACTGGGAACGCTGCTCAGCGGCTTCCGTCGTCGCTCGTCACAAGCTGGCATGGTCCACAATCCAGTCTACCAGGTGTGTGTGTGTGTGTGTGTGTGTGTGTGTGTGTGTGTGTGTGTGTGTGTGTGTGTGTGTGTGTGTGTGTGTGTGTGTGTGTGTGTGTCGGGGAGGGTTTAGCGTTGTCTATTTGCGGGTATGTGTGTGTATGTGTGCGGGGCGTCCCATGCCATCTTGGTTCTTGTTGGAACGTACAGACACTAGCTCACGCGTGCCGTGTGTCTGCTTCCTGTTCGTGCCCATCTCCACATCTACTTTGCATGAATTGCCTCTTAGGATGTTGAGATGTCACAGCTGGTTGAGGTGGCCGAGGAGGACGGTGATGGCTCTTGCCGACGTAACCAGGACCCACACCAGCTGTACGACATGGGTGATGGTGGCGATGCTGATGCTGCTGGCAACATTAGCATCGACAGTGATGATGATGGCCGTGATGATGGCGATGAAGCGAGGCAGTTGTATGATCTGGGAGACGTGGATGAAGGCGTGGGGCAGACTGCACTCACCACCAACGCTGCAAGCAGCCGGAGCGGCAGCACAAGCACCAGCGATAGAGACAGCGTTGACGACATGCCGCAAGGATTTGGCGACACCTTTGAGGAGCCCGTCACGCAGCAGGTGACGCCGACGAAGCGAAAGCACCGGGGAACCTCCGTTGTGGACGAGCACCCATTTGGCTTCAGCGACAGCAGCGCAAACGAGGATAATTTGCACAGCGACGACGACCTGCTGCTGTACGGCAATGTGGACACGCACCACAGACAGCGCGATGGCGACAGTGGTGGTGACGCGACAGCGGCAACAAACACGACCGCGCCCATCGCAGCCAGCGACGTTGGGCGGCGCGTGCGCGTACAAGGGTATGAGTGCCTGGGCACGATTGCTTTCGTGGGCAAGCACGCTACCAAGGGCACAGACCGCGTTGGTGTCATCTTGGACCTCCCTCGCGGGTTGAACAACGGTACCGTGGGTGGTGTGCAGTACTTTTCGTGTGAGCACAACAAGGGCATTCTGTGCGTTCCTGCCAAAGTGTCCCTGATGGATGACTGTTCGTGAGTGTCGTTAGTGTGGGTGGCTGAATGAGAATGTAGGTGTACGTTCGAGGTGTGTGTGCGTGCGCGAGTGTGTGTAGGTGTGTGCGTGTGTGTGTGTGTGTGTGCGTGCGTGTGTGTGTGCTTGAGGAAGAGAGTTGGGGAACGGTGGCGTGAGCAATGGTTTTGCGTTTGCTCGAGTTACATGGCACTTCTTCTGTTGACTCATTGTTCTTTTCCCTCTTGGTTACACCGTGTCATTGGACGCAGTTCTGTCGTCCTCTCTGTTATCCTTTCATTTATGAGACGCCTTTCTTGCTTGTTGTGTTTGGTCTGAGTTCTTGCGTTGATGACGCTTGCTTGGAGAGTGAAGTGGTGTGATGATAGTGATGTGGTGGAGCCTTGCGTCGTCGTGAAGCGTGTGCCGTGGCTTGATGTGTGCTGCTGCTGCCACTGGTTTGGTCAACAGTGCAATCAAGTCGCAAGCAAACATGCTTTCTTTATTGATTGCTGTGTAACGGGTGTTTGGTCAAGCAATGAGTTCATTCCAGTGACAAAAAGGATGCGGATGGGAATCATGATAGGAACATCTGCACAACAAGGTTTCATAACACAACGAGCCAGGTGTACAACTCGCAACACTGACGACTCAGCATGCGCTGGCAGGAGTCGATTGCTGTCGCTTTCCAACTGTCTCGTAAGGTGGTGATGAATTCTTGATGTCGTAGTCGCCTGCATCCCAGTCGTGTGCATGCATTCTTCCACCATCGCTTTCTTGGTGTCCAACATCGTACACGGTTGCGTTCCATTGGTGAAGTCCTGCAACAAGCAAAGTGCACCGAATGGGAAACCACAGTCAAGGAGCGTGGGGTAAATGGGTGAGTGCACGAACACGCGATCAACACAGACAACACACATGTGGCATCACTCTTCGTCAAGCACGTGGTGCGACAAGTGCACAAGCGCACGTACATAAGCACAGACACACACATGCACACAGACAGACAGACAGACACACACACAGCCAGATAGACAGACAGACAGACTCACTCACATACATGCACATATGGTGAACCTCACCCCGCACGTCGCTCCCGTCACTCATCGTTGAGTGCCGTCTGCCCGGTCGCCGCCCTCCAAGCCCAACATGCGTCTCGCGCATGTTCACATTGGGATAGACCGCCTCAACCACGTCGTAATCGCCCTCGCCAGAAGACCGCACGGTCACTGGTATGGGATTCTCTGCATATGCTTGCGGGCCTTCTTTGACAACGGCAACACGCCGCTTGCTTCGACACCGCCACCGCACAATCACCACAACAACAATGATGAGCATGACCACACCACCGACTGCGCCGCCCACGATCACTGCAATGGGCACAGCCGTCGTCGAGTTGGTCGACGCGGAGCGGTCGCCGTTGGGGCCATCCACCTGGTCGCACGGCTGCAGCGACGTGCAGTCAAAGTTCTCGTAGCAAAAGTCGGTTGACCCAATCGGCACGCGGGGGCACTGGCAGAACTGCTGGCCGCTGGCAGTGAACGCGCACACGCCGCCGTTCTGGCACAGAGTGCAGTCCGAGACAGTAAACTGGTCTGGCACGGTAAAGGTGACGGTGGCAGCAGCGGTGGTGGAGACAGAGGCGTCGCCGCGGGGGAAAGGAACCTCGTCGCAGGGGCTCAGGTTGGTGCAGCGGGCATCCTCGTAGCAGCGCTCAACACCGCCCTGGCGCACGCGCGGGCACTCGCACGTCAGCTGGGCCGGACGACGTCACAACGCACGTCCCGCCGTTCTCGCACTGCGAGCAGTCGTCGATGACGTCGCTGTCCGGAACCGTGTACGGCACCTCAGGGCGGGTGGCAGGCGTGGACGTGCTGGAGCCCGTGGCATCGCCACGAGGGAACGGCACCTGGTCACAGGGGAGCTGCGAGGTGCAGTCGGCGTTCTCGTAGCACAGCTCGAAGCGGCCCTGCTGCACGCGTGGGCAGTCGCACGTCACCTGGCCAGTGGGTGTCCTCACACACGTTCCGCCGTTCTGGCACTGGGAGCAGTCGTTGATCTCGTCATCGTCGGGAACCGTGAACGTCACAGTGGCCAGCGGCGATGTCGTCGTGGTTGTGGTCGTCGTCGTCGTCGTTGTCGTGGTGGTGGTCGTGGCTGCCGTGGTCGTGGACAAGGTGGTGGTGGTCGTGGTGGTGGTTGTGGTGGTGCTCCCGTCCACGCACTCAAAGTTGGTGTCGTCGACGCGGCGGCAAAACTGGCCCTCAGAGCAGGGCGAACCATCGCACGGGTTGAGCGTGGTGGTGGTGGTGGTGGTGGTGGTGGTGGTTGTGGTTGTGGTGGTTGTGGTTTTTGTTGTTGTTGTGGTCGTTGTCGTGGTCGTGGA